GGGGAGGGCGGCGCCACAGCCTCGTGACTTCGGGCCCGGCACCTGGCGGGAGTGAGGATGCGGGCCAGGTTGGAAGGGGGCCCAGACAGGCCAGCCGACCCCGAGGGACGCCCGACCCAGCCCCCAGGGGCGTGGGCCCCCGGGAGGCGGGTCGGGCCTGGGGGCTGGGCCACCGCCGGGTTAAAGGCGGCTGCTTGCCTGGCCGCTGCTCCAGCCTCCGCTCCTTCGCTCCGCTGTGATGGCCTCGTCGCCACTCCTTCCGTTCCTGCCTTTCCTGCTGCTGCTGCTGCTGCTGCTGCTGCTGCCGCCGGAGGTCCCCGCGGCGGCGCGGGCGTCCCCGCTGGAAACCCTCCCCGAGGGGGCGGCCGCCTGCGAGGTAGGGACGGCAACGCGGCGGGTATGGGGACAGCGGGCCCGGGCGCCCGGGCAGCGGGGTGCTGCGGGAGCGGCGGCTCCTCCCCTCTCCCCAGATTTTGCCGGGAAAGAGCGGGGTTCGGGGCGGGGGGACGCTGCCCCGGGTCGGCACCGAAAACCCCCCGGCGCTGTGGCCCCAATCCGAGTCGTTTCACTTCCCCGTCTCGCGTCTGACACTCAGCTGTCCCCCACCCCGTCCCCGCCCGCCCCGCCCGAGGGTGCGCTGAGCTCCTACAGTGTACATCTGGGGCGGGAAGGAGTTTCCTTTCGGAGTGCAGGGGAAGCCCAGAGAAGTGGGCCCGTGGCACCGACCCTCCGGGTGCTGCTTCCTGAGTGCCTGCTTCCCTGCTTCGGCCAGGGAAGAGCTCGCGTGTTTGTGGTGCGGGGCAAGCGCATGGCCCGGAGGCTGAGCCACTTGCTTTCGCCTGCACCGGCAGTGGCTGCCTGCCGCCCGGCAGCTGAAACCGGAAGTCAGCACATATTAGGCGCCGCCTCAGCAGTAGGGCTTCGGAGGGGGTTCACCTGGGCCCCTTGAGAGGAAGAATAAATAAGGGGTCAGCCCAAGTGTAGGGCCTCGCTCAGCTCAGGGCCAAGGCTCTGGGGATGAAGTGGCAACAAATGAGCATGCATTAGTCTCCTGTGGTATGCATCTCCGAGAAGGCAGGATGGAGAGCAGTGACCAGAAATGTGCATGCGTTGAGTCCTTACTGCATACATTTCCCCTGGGCGAGGGGTTTCACCTCAACTGAAGGAAAGCAAGAGCTGTTCATAAATTAAGTGCCTACTGTTTGCAAGTCTTTGTCACATCCGTCTTGCGGAAAAACAGATTGAGGGGCGCCTGGGTGGCCCAGTCGTTAGGCATCTGCCATCGGCTCAGGTCATGATCCCAGGGTCCTGCTCTGGGGGAGGCCTGCTTCTCCCTCTCCCACTCCCCCTGCTTGTGTTCCCTCTCTCGCTGTGTCTCTCCCTGTCAAATAAATAAATAAAATCTTTAAAAAAAAAACAAAACTGAGATTGAGGAAGATTGAGGGATGCAGTAAAGCCTGAGAGTCAGGATTTTACCTGGCACCGTCTGAAAGGAGTGCAAGATGGAGCACCTACTGTTTGTAGCTGCAAGAGAACCAAGCAGGGCGATGCTCCCTTCACACCCCTTCCTCCCGCACAGGCTAGGGGCCTGTGCCTGCAGGTGCCCCCCAGGAAGTCACAAGCCCCGCCTGTCAACGTGAGCCTCTACTACGAGACGCTGTGCCCCGGCTGCCGGGCCTTCCTGGTCCGAGAACTCTTCCCAACCTGGCTGATGGTACTAGAGATCCTCAATGTCACACTGGTGCCCTATGGAAATGCCCAGGTATGCTGGCCCTGGGGAAACCGAGGCACTAGGCCAGGGAAGGGGGCACCTGGTGCCAGCACTCACCTAGCTGCCTTTCAGGAACAAAATGTCAGCAGCGGGTGGGAGTTCACATGCCAGCACGGTGAGGAGGAATGCAAGCTGAACAAGGTGGAGGTGAGCAGCCCCCAGGGTACCTGAGTGGTGGGAGCACAGAGGTGGGGGGGAGGGAGACTGCCCATCGTAAGGAAGGCAAAAAGCCAGGCTCAGAAGGGATTGGAAGCAGCTCCATCCTCTGCCTGCGTGCCTTTGTAATCACATCTTCGTTCACCGCTTCATTAGGTGAACACCCGTGATCACTCGCAGAGTGGTCTAGGGCTGCTCTGGGCCCGCTTCATGCCCTTGCCTGTCCACCCCCTATCCCACAGGCCTGCCTGTGGGACCAGCTAGAGAAGAACTTGGCCATCCTGACCATTGTCTGCATGGAGGAAATGGATGACATGGAGAAAAATCTGAAACCGGTGAGCAACACCCCTCACTTGGCCCCAGGTTGGGAGACCCTGGCCTTCCCTGTTCCCAGACAGACCCAGGTTCAGGTCCTGGCCTGACCACCACTCTCTGTGTAGCCCCAGAAAAATGGCCTTCCCTCTGGACGCCTCAAATCTCTGAGGGAAGGGAACAGAGATCTTTGGGGGAGCATGGGTAGATCAAGGAGGGCTTCCTGGAGGAGGTGCCTCTGAGCTGGTCTTGGATGGACAGAAATGTTCAGGGACACAGATGATGATCCTCCTCTGGGATATGGGGATGACAGGACAGGCCCGCCTACTTCTCTGGAGGATTATGAAAAACACCTCCCAGTGGAGTGACTCATTGACACCAGTAGTTGATTCATTCATCAAACATCTGGACCACCCAAAAGGCTCACCCTGGGACACCCCCAGCCCTGCAGAGTCATAGTGGGGCCAGAGGAGGGCAGAGGAAGAAGGAGCACTGGGAAGATTCTGGGGAAGGAAGGGGAAGGGTGTTCCTGGTAGAGGGAACAGCACATACGGAAGCTCTGAGGGAAATGAGATACCATAAGGGGTCCGGGGCTGCAGGTCTGGTCTTCTGAGACTCAGGAGCAGCCTGAGCCCCTGCCTTGTGGGCCTCCACTCAGGTAAGTGTTAAGCACATGCTGTTTATGCTGTGGACCCAAATGTCTCCTGTTGCCAGGAAGGTACAAGCTTGGCCCTGCGGGGGCTGGAGGAGGAACCATTGGGGAAATAACACAGAGGAAGCTGAGGCAATGCTCCCGCTCAACCAGCAACCCTTGTCCACCCTCAGTGCCTGCAGATCTATGCACCAGAGGTGTCCCCGGACACCATCATGGCGTGTGCAATGGGGGACCGTGGCATGCAGCTCTTGCACGTCAATGCCCAGCTTACAGATGCCCTGCAGCCACCCCACGAGTATGTGCCCTGGGTCGTCGTCAATGGGGTAAGAACTCTTCTAGCCCTCGGTATGGCCACGCGCCAGCACCAGGATGACGGATGTGCCCTCTGGTCTGGGAGGCAGGGGCCAGACTTGGGGCCATTTGCAGCCCCTTCTGGGTCGGACACGGGTTGGTGGGGGGGCAAGTGGGACTGGATGACTTCCTGTCTTGCTTCGTGCAGAAACCCCTGAAAGATCCGAGTCAGCTCCTAAGCCTCGTCTGTCACTTGTACCAGGCAAGCTGGAAGGGGACCGGAGGGATCCACTGGGGGCGTGGGTGGGCAGCGGCTTCTTTCGGGACCCCCAGCTCACGGCCGTCTCCTCCAGGGTGAGAAGCCAGACGTCTGCCAACCCATGGCCAGCTCCCAGAGGGAAGTCTGCTTCAAGTGACAGCTGGTGCCCGAGAAGGAGCTACTGGAGGAAGAGCAAGAGGGCACCTGTCCCTGTCTTTCCTGATCCCTGACTCTCAGCAGCTGCTTCCCATCATCCAGATAACTTCTACACATTCCATGAAAGCCCAGACTCAGAATCCGGCCCCCAGATCAAGCATCTCGCCCCACTGAGAATGGTGCTACATTGAATGAGTTTAATAAACACTTCTGGATTTTGTGATCCCTTTGATAAGTTAGCAAGTCCCCCTGCACCGACACGCTGCTGGGACCCCCTGAGAAGTCCCCTTTCTAGGAGAGGCAGAGCCAGACAGACACTCTTCGCCCCACGGGGAGCAGACACAGGCCAGAGGGAGGCACCAGGGCTGGAGGAGCCCAGAGAGGAAGTGAAGGCTCTGCTTAGGGAATAGGAGCATTGGGGCTGGGGTTTTGAAGGGTGACTAGGAGTTCATGAGGCAGAAGACGTATTCAGTAATTCAACAAACAGCCGTAACTACTCCCTTTTGCAGACGCCACACTGGGTGATAGGAGTTGGGCAGATATGGGCCAGAGGGAGGCATACCTCATGAATACATGGGAAATACCCACTAAAACTGAGTAAAACTCCCCAAAGTGGCCCAAGCCACCACTTTATCTTTTTTAAGATTTTTTATTTTATTTTATTTTTAGATTTTATTTGGGAGTGAGTGAGAGAGAGAGAGTGCGTGCATGCAAGCAGTGGGGAGGGGCAGAGGAAGAAGCAGACTCCCCACTGAGCACGGAGCCCAATGCGGGGCTCGATCCCAGGACCCCGGGATCATGACCTGAGCCAAAGGCAGACGCTTAACGACTGAGCCACACAGGTGCCCCTTTATTCTTAAGTAATCTCCACACTCAATGTGGGGCTCGAACTCACAGCCTGGAGATCAAGAGTCGCATGCTCCACCGACTGACCCAGCCAGGCGCCCCCTAAACCACCACTTTATTTTTTTATTTTTTATTTTATTAAAGATTTTATTTATTTATTTGACAGAGAGAGAGATAGTGAGAACAGGAACATAAGCAGGGGGAGTGGGAGAGGGAGAAGCAGGCTTCCCGCGGAGCAGAGAGCCCAATGCGGGGCTCGATCCCAGGACCCTGGGATCATGACCCGAGCCGAAGGCAGACGTGTAACGACTGAGCCACCCAGGCGCCCCTAAGCCACCACTTTAAATACCATCCTTAGCTAAAGACAAAAGAAAGAGGGGGTGTTCCCAGCTTTATTGAGATATAATTGAGAAATTTGTATATATTCAAGGTCTACAATTTGATGATTGGGTATGTGTATATATCCTGAAACAATTACCACCATCGAGTTAACACCTCTATCACTTCACATAGTTACCTTTTTGTGTGTGTGATGAGAACACTTCAGAGCTCCTGGCTTAGCAACTTTCAAGTACACAATATGGTACCGTTACCTAGAGTCACCATGCTGTGCGTTCGAGCCTCAGAAAGTACTCTCTTATAAGAAAAGTCTGTACCCTTTGACCAACCCATTTTCCCCATTCCCCCGGCCCCTGGCAGCCAACGTTCTTCTGTTTCTATGGGTTTGTCTTTTTAGATTCCACACGGAAGTGAGATCACGCAGTATTTGTCTTTCTCTGCCTGGCTTATTCCACTTAGCATAATGCCCTCCAGGTTCCTCTGTGTTGTCATGATTAGCTGGATTTCCTTCCTTTTCTTAATGGCTGAATAATATTTGAGTTGACCATTTTGTTCAAAGTAATCTCAAAGGAAGACCTTCCTTGGCAGGGCTCACTGGATTTGCCCTGATTATTTACACAAAGGCAGCAGGCATTCAGTTTGCTTTGCTGGGAGTTTCCGTGAGGAATCTCAAGTTTGGACTCTTAAAAACCTCTAACATCCGTTAACTCCCGGCAAGAAACTTCACCACGCCACCGGGTTTCATTTGCAGTATCTACTCCTTCTGGAAAATTGCTCTACTCTGGACATCCCTAAAGTAGCACAAGAATCTTAGTTGACCAGGACCAACCTATAAGACTGACCCTGCCAGCCAGGTACAAGCCAGTTTTCCTGTGAGGATTTTGCAAGCATTGGCTCCCAAAAGCCAAACTTAGTTTCTGGAAATTGGCTGGTCAAATCACATATATACGTGTTTTGGGTTCTGGAGGAACCTAATTCTAACTCCTCCGCCACCCCCAGCACCTTGAGAGGGGACTGGATTTTGTAACTTGATTCCAAAGAGTAGAGAAAGGGAAAAAGAGTAATTTGACAGTAGAGACACCTGGTTGGTATCACCTTAACCATGTGATCTGGGTTAGCATGACCCATGTTAAACCATGTACATATCACATGCCCTGATATGATGCAATCAAGATACTCCATCTCAGGGCGCCTGGGTGGCTAGGTTGGTGGGAGGCTCAGCTTGCTTCTCCCTCTGCCTGCCGCTCCCCCTGCTCATGTGCGCGCTCTCTCTCTCTCTTTCAAATAAATAAATAAATCTTTTTTTTTTAAAGATTTTATTTATTTATTTGACAGAGAGACACAGCGAAAGAGGGAACACAAGCGGGGGGGGTGGGAGAGGGAGAAGCAGGCTTCCCGTGGAGCAGGGAACCCGATGCGGGGCTCGATCCCAGGACCCTGGGATCATGACCTGAGCCGAAGGCAGACGCTTAACAACTGAGCCACCCAGGCACCCCATAAATAAAATCTTAAAAAAAAAAAAAGACACTCCGTCTCTGTGGGACTTTCCTCAAAGACCCCGAACTCCAGTCTAACCATGAGAAAACATCACCCCAAACCAGATTGAGGTACATTCTATAAGATATCTTACCAGTACTCCTCAAAAGTGCCAAGGTCACAAACAGCAAGGGAAAAATGGAGAAAGTGTCACTGAGCACAGGAAACTAACTTAGTGGGATGCTGGCCAAATGAACATTTTAAGGAATAACTGGAATTATGACTAACGGTACTATTCTTGCCTCAAATCAGCCAAGGCACCTCTAGGAATCTGACAAATAGAAATATATCGCAGACAGTGAGAGCATTAACCAATCTCCCTTTAGATGGACTGATTAGGATAATTATGCCTGCAAAATAACGTAATATCATACTCACATTCTATCATATCGACAAGATCTACCTGCACTGGAGGAGGGCATACAGGTGCACACCTGAGGCGGAAATCTTGGGGCCATCTTAGAATCCTGCCTCTCTCAGGGCACCTGGGTGGCTCAGCCGTTAAGTGTCTGCCTTTGGCTCAGGTCATGATCCCAGGGTCCTGGGATCGAGCCCTGCATGGGGCTCCCTGCTCCGTGGAAGCCTGCTTCTCCCTCCCCCACTCCCCCTGCTTGTGTTCCCTCTCTTGCTGTTTCTCTGTCAAATAAATTTAAAAAATAAATAAAATGTAAAAAAAAGAAAAAGTTCACTTGTAAATTTTTATCCCATTTACATGTATTTAACTTACTCCTTTTTAACAATTATGTTTAGATGACTTATGAACATTTCATGAGTCACGAGACAGCTAGCCATCATCTTAAGTTATTTTTCTTGTTGACAAATCAGGCAAGTATCAAAAATTACAGACGTAAAGAACCTAAAAAGTTAAACATACAACTCTCTCCTTTTTTTTTTTTTTTAGTGTCATGCTTGATATACATTAAACAATTCACTTTTATTATAGGTTTTGTTCTTAGGGTTGAATTTATAGTTTTATAATCTTAAACACAGAGATAATGAGTGTGTTTGACTAATCTTAATTTATGTAAGCACTTTTTAAACAGGTCAATTAAATAGAGCTCTTGACAATTACTTTTTAGCAATATCTCTGGAGGTAGAAAAATATTACATAAACATAGAGACACATAAAATCAGAGATCTTATAGATCTTATTTTTAAATTTTAGGCCATGAGACAGGTGCAAGAATACAAAACTCACATGTTTAAAAAAATATTTTAAAAAAATATAGTTGAGGGGTGCCTGGCTGGCTCAGTTGGAAGACCATGTGACTCTTGATCCCGGGGTTATGAGTTCAGGCCCCATGTTGGGTGTAAAGATTACTTAAAAATTAAAAAAAGGGGCGCCTGGGTGGCTCAGTTGGTTAAGCAACTGCCTTCGGCTCAGGTCATGATCCTGGAGTCCCGGGATCGAGTCCCGCATCGGACTCCCTGCTCGGTGGGGAGTCTGCTTCTCCCTCTGATCCTCCCCCTCTCATGCTCTCTGTCTCCCATTCTCTCTCAGATAAATAAATAAAAAAT